GTAATTGAAGTCACCCATGACAACCATGGTCCTGGAGCAAGCTGCCTCAGCCAGTTCCTGGGTAAACTCCTGGTCAAGCTCAGGACTTTGAGTGGGAGGTCTGTAGTAGACTCCCACCATTGTGTCCCCTGTGATCCTTAATTTTTAAGACAGAATCACCTCTTCCCAGACTCCAAAGCAATCATTTCAACTGGAGAAGTGACTTCTTGACAAAAACTTCCCTATCCTGAGATACCATTGGTTTATAAATTATTACACTGACATGAATCCATTCTCCATCACTTTTTTCCTAAATGGGCTGCAGGCAATCCAATACGAGTATATTTGTAAGTATGTCTGTTCTTATTGCTGTGCATATAAGGAGGAAGCTTTCTCAGACCCTGTTCAATCCTTCAGATACAGTTCCACTTCCTTAGCTCTATAGCTCTCCTCCAGTGCAGATGCACAGGACCCCCCTGGACTGGGAGACTGAGTTTTCCATATGCTCATTACGTTACGTTCCCCTTCTACTGCAGGACTCTCATTCCTTCCCCCCGCCAACCCACCTTTAAAAAAGTCTCTCACTACTATAGAGAGGTTTATGGATTTTTCACCACATATACTGACATGTAGGGTGCTCATCTGGCATCCCATAGTTTTCTCAGGACATTCCCCTGATCTCAGTTCACTTCATTTCAGCAATAATCCCACCTTGCCCATTCCTAGGATCTTCAGACTTACTTTTTTTTTCTAGTACTGACAATCCCAGCTGGTGTTTTGGGCAATTTGAGTGCTCCTATGCAATGGACAGTTTTCCACCAGCTCTTCATGCCAGAAGACAGCCACACTTTGCATACAGTGGAATTTATTTTGTTTTAGCTCTCCTATCCCCACAAAGTTACATTTGGGACTTCGTTAAATGTAAAACTCCTTTCTCTATACCTCTTCCCATTTGTGCATTTAGATTCTGAAGTTCTCCTGGTCTTATTGAACCTGTATATGCAACTGGAAATATTTAAATAAAGCTACTGAAGAGGCACTGAACTTGAGCCTTCCAGCAGTTGGAAATACTGTAGCTTTTAAGACCTCCTTAGGAACTGGCTCATCCCCATCATGGAGATGCCCCTCCTCACTACATCCATACCAAAGGACACAATGGGTATGTCTATATGTTCATTAATGAGCTTAGATACTGAGCATTTAGTTTAGTACTTACCTAATGAAGTACTAACTAAATGAGCAGTAACTACTTACTGCGCAGTAGCACTGGTGCATGTTTTTTGTGATGCTTACTGCACAAGAGCCTAATAACACTGCACAATAGCGCATTAGCACAGTTTTTGACCAACACACTACTGTGCAGTAAGCTTCTCTTGCAGACACATCCAGTGTTCTGTATTTGCATGGGATTTAAAAACAAATCTCTGCAGGAAAAGGAACACTGGAGATGGAGAAAGTTCCCAAAAAACAATGAAAAGTTCATGTGCACGGTAGCAAAATTAACCTCTCTGTAATGGAACAAATATGCAGATAAAGGACTAAAATACCCCAGAGTTCCTCTTTCAGAGGCCAGAAATGCGTCTATATACAGGAAGGAGATAGAGAGAATGGGTTAAACTCAATGCAATGTACACGTTTGTTCGAAAACAGACTTAGAGCAAGGCTCAAAGGTAAAGTGCATCTCAGACCATTTCAGAACATTGCTTTTCCCATATGAAAAGCAAGCAACATAGGTTCTAGAGTCTTCTCCTACCTTGGCCTCCATGCCTCCCATTCCTACCCGGGATTTGGTTCCAAAGGTCACAGACTGCTGGTCTCCCGGGTAAAATATGTCAATAAGCTTCGCATCATCTGACCCCGGGGGGCTGTCAAAGAGTCCTAAAATGCAAATCTATTTGTTAGCTCTGTATATCTTTGGACTCCGTCATTCAGGGGAACAGAACTGGGAGGGCTAGGGAGCTCTTCTCCATTACAAAGGCATGGGCACTGACCATTTACCACTGCAAGAGGACACCTCTGCATTTCTCAACAAACCCAGCTCAGGACAAGGTTGTGAGCCTGAACCAGGTGCTTGAGGTGTTTGTGCCCAAAAATGAAGAACTTCAAAGTTAAGCTTAAAAGAAAGATAACTAAACGCATAAAAAAGAGAAAGACAACATATCTGAAATGATAGCAGGAAGCCTGAGAAGCAGTGATGTTGGCAGATGCAATGGAGCAAGAGGTGACAGAAAATGGGATATGAGCTTGCAGCGTGACAGGCCTCCAACAGAGCAGTTTGAAGCTGCACATGGAAAGACATTAGCAAAGTCAGGGAGGGGACAGGCACCACTGCCATGGCCTCCAACAACACAGCAGAGCACCATGTTTCACAGAGGTCTACAGGTGGGAGATAGTTCCAAGAAGAGCAATGAAAGGTCAAGTAATGCCAACCACTCCAGGGGACACAAGAGCAGAATACACAAGCAAGTCTGCTTGAAAAAGAAATGACATTTTAAGTTGACTGACTTCTTGTTTTCTGCCCCTTTAAGCATCTCTTACTGCCATCTCACCAGAAATGCCATAGAAACACCCACTAGAGAATCATTAAAGCAGCACACACAGGGATATGCACTCTGCATGTATGCATGCAGCCTGCATGTACAGACAGTGCTGCAGGACCTTCTCCTTATTCCCTGCTCAGTAGGCAAGTGGAGGATGATGGATGAAGCACAGATCCAGTAAATTCCTGGTTTGCGGTTAGATAAGTTTTGCCTAAATCCACTGAAGTCAATGGAATGACCCTGGTGCAAGTCTGCAGTGACAGAACACATCTGTGCATGCAGAAGCTAACCAGCATGAAGCAAAGGTGAGGGCTGTGCAGGGGGCACTTGCTCAAGGAGGGAGTGCATCATTAGGGCTGGGGTTCTTTCTTAAAATAATCAGTTCGCTAATAGCACCTCCAGCCTCTTTATCTTTCCTCTTCACTTCTCATAAGTGTAAAACTTGATATTGCCCCTTTGCTTAATTTTAGCAAGCACCAACCAGTCGGCACATGTAAAACTAAATTCTTCAGGAGGGAAAGGCATCTGCATCATGACCTGCTATGGATTTTAGGTTTTTTTCCCTGGAAATACAGTAGAAGGATTAGCAATATGGAGTGGGCTATGGGATACGAGCTACAGAACTCGAGCTGCAAAGCATCTAGAGATGGCAATTCACTCTCCCTTTCTGTAAGGGCCACCAACTGTTGTAACTGTTAGGCTGTTCTTTGTGGGAATATTTTCTTCTTTTGGTAAGTGAACAGCAGGAACCTCTAGTTATTTGACTGAGTGAAGACTGGCTATAAGGAAGCCCAACAGTTAACATGTGGCTTTGGGGCTCTGTGGGACCCTGACACAAACACACGTTTTTCGTTTGAAGGTTACTCTCGCCACACTCTAGCCAGCAGGTTAACTGACAACGCCAAAGAAACATGGAAAAATCCAGGCACAAACCTTTGTTCACTATTCATTGCTTTTGTTTACAGGGCAAGCAAGGACCCCAGCCAGACAGCAACCCAGAAAATCAGACTCAGGGGGCAGAAGCTCAGAGGTTCCACCTGCTGGGGGCTGGGGCAAAGCCCTTGCCAGGTCAGGCTTCATATTCAGCTGTATTCTCTGTCCAACAGTACTAGTGCTAAATACATACGTATTTTGCACGAGCTGTTTTCTATCACTGCTTTTACTACCAATTGCTGTTTGCAGAAGGACTTGCCAAAGGTAAATGCAACTAGTAAACAGGGTGGCACGGCCTGGAGAACAAAGGGATGATGCGGTTCCACTCAAACACGGGTGCAGGATTGTCAATAGAAGAAAGCATCCACTGAAAGACTTAGAGAGAATACCGCTACAGCTCATGCCTGAACTGTAACACATTTCATCATCCAAAAGTGAACAGGTTGCAAGTCAGTGCCTTATGGGTCACTGTTTACAACAGAACATGTCACTCAGCCAAAAAACAGTAATTCTTGTCACAACCCAAAGGGTGTGATTTTTGTTTGTGTGTGCTTCGGCACTGCTAAATTGTCCCCGCTAAATTGCAGCTTCCTTGCACGGTGGAGTTTTCTGCTGCAAAAGAGAACCCCAGTGCAAGGGAGAATTTCCCGCCAATTTGAAGCTTTCTTTGCAGGGTGCATTTCTTTGTTGCAGCACAGAGATGCTCGTTGCAAAGAGTTCCCGCCATTTGTATGCTAATTCGAGTCCCATTATTGGCCAGTTCTAAATTATTCACACGGGGC